TGCATGGTCACTACTTCCCAGAGGAGTCATGATCTGGGCGGCGGTGGCACAGTGGTTAGGACTCTCGCCGACCATGCATATGGTCCGGGGTTCGAGCCCACGCCGACGCACACCTGATATCTATGGTCGGCCTGCGAAATTTGGGCTACCGATATCCACGCTGTAAATTCTATACTTGTACCAAAAAATACGGTGTGGAATCAAGCTGTAATAAAAAAATAAAAAAAATAATTTTCGACGAATAGTTGGGCACTAGTTAGAACAGTCTAGTTTTGATGACCTTCCACTAGGGCTCCACCTAGTGTCGTCTCCAACATTGTCAGTCAGTCTCGTGTTTTGAATAGCTTGCAGTAGGTTTCGGCCAAATTTTCCCTTAGCACACCCCGAGTAGAGGTTCACTGATGGGGCATTGACATCTTCAGCCATGGTGATTTGGTCGTAGCCCAAATCTCGTATCCCTGTGATAGTGCTGAGCAGTAGCTGATTGTGCTCTGCTCCACAGGTGGGAGGTCGGTAGATGCCACCCAGTAAGTGCTTGGTGTGGCCTACGGTGAAATGACACCATATGGAGTCTGGGAGTTCAATAAGTGGGAGGTCCGTTGCACGCACACATTTAAGTCGCCTATCAAAGTATATAGCAATTCCCCCTCCTTCCTTATTATCCCTGTCTCTCCTGACCAGAACCATATCACCTATACTAATTTCACCGTCGGCGATGGTGGGGTTTAGCCACGTTTCAGTGAGAATGATCATTTTCAGTTGAAGGTGTGCTTGAAGATTTCAGAGTTCACCTACTTTTCCTCTCAGCCCCCTCACATTGCTATATAGGCAACCGACAGTGAGTCTAACAACCTCAGAGTGTTGTGAGGTAGTTGACGTGAAACTGTCTGCTGGTGGTGGACTTGATGTTGGAAATAGTTGGCCGATTCCGATAGAACCGACCCGTTGTAGATTTTTCAATGGATTTAGGCAGGACACTTGGGTGACACAGACTGTCATTCTCAGAACTGCATCGCTCTAGTGTCACTGAAGCTTGAGGACGTATTAAAGCCTCAGTTTGCTGCCTCCTTATAGTTCGGGGTCTGCTTTTGCAGCATCGGATGTGTCCTCCTATTTTTCCCTTGGTCTCATACCACCGTTGAAGTGCTATGTGCAACTGCTCCGGGGAGTTGAATGTGACACATAGTAGCTTTGGAAAGTTAATCAGTGTTGGATGAGCGGGACGAGGTAGTCGGAAAATGGAGATGGCGCCAGAAGCGCCAGGGGCCATCTGATATGACAGCCATCTCCTTCGCTGTACGTCGTGCATGTGTTTTTTACAAGCAGTGCCGGTTTCCAGCTCCGGAACACCGTGTACCACCGTAGAGGGGGAAGGCATCAGTTCCGGTGACTCCCTCGCCATATGTCTGATAGCCCATGGTCTATCTTGTCTCACCCTTATGTTAGAACTTCTGTCCAGGGCTAGTACCTGAGCCATTAACAGTACTTTTTCGACCTCTTCGGCAGAGTCAAGTGTAACCCGTAATGGGGGTGGCTTACCCTGAGGCGTGTGGATACCCCTGTACAGCCTGCACAATTTTGCTGAACTAATGTTCAGACCTAGTTTATTGCACAGGTTGGACCACTGTTCCTGATCAAACAGGGCCCATTGTCCGAGCAAGCTATCCTTGCTCACAGGTACGTTGAAGAGGATGAGAGAGTTAGATCGACTAACCTCAGGCTTAGGTTTGGCCTTCGGCTTCTTGCATTCCTTTACATCATCATCAGCATTACACTTCATCGGTGTCTGGCCAGCACCTTTTGTGTTGCCAGGCTTGCTAGTGGATGCAAGTGGTGCTTTTGTAATTTCGCCTTCCCCTGATGTGGATGCAACCTTGCGAATCTTCAGCTTGTGAAAATTGGCATTTCCAGTCAGTATGACTGGTGTTTCCTTCTTAATGTCCTTGACCAGTTTTGGCAGTGTGATGTTAGCAAAGGGGAGCTGCATGAGACTGTGTTGGGACACAAGAGCGTGTTGTTTCTGCTATCCGCAGACACGCTTTGTGGGACTATGCCAGGGCGACAAAGTGGGCAAATGTATCAAAACCATGGGCATGGATTATTTCTCATAAACCCATGGTATGCTTTCGGTACCTCTTTGTCACAACGGCAGTGCACCCATCGTTTGCAAAAATTGCATTCAAACGCTGGATCAGTTTTAGAAACTGTGATACTACACGCCTGACATTCATCTCATTTCCTCGATGACGCCTTCGAGGTCTTATGACGTCTTGAATGTTTCCTTTTAGGCCTGCTGTGTTTCAAACACTGGCCTACAGTTGATGCTGGTGTAGAATCCTGTCCTTCTGGCATTCCCTGTGCCGTTTCAGTACAAGACTGTGGGAACGCAGGCGTGGTATCAGGACATAAGAAAGCCACACGAGTCTTTAGGATCGGTATCCGGGAAGGGGTTGAAATCCCTGGGTTTTTTCCTTCCCTGACTGAAGCCCTTGTGTCTACAGAGTATGGTATTTTAGTGGCTTTTCTAAGGCTACTTTCGACAACCATATTAACAATCACTATAAATCATGCCATATATGACTAAGCGAGCAACAGTTTCTATCCAAAAGAACAAGAATAAGACTGAAAAAGTACAAGGCAAGAAAAAGAAAGGATTTTCGACTTCACCTAGTACTTTCTGGATGATCGGCTTCACACCAATCACGTGGTAGACCAACAAGTCTTGTTTATCTGAACGAGTGGGGAAGATGCTGCTACAAAGTAGCACCTGAAGCTTTGGCAGTGGTTCGAGACAGCTGGACTTACCACACAGAGATTTATTATGTAAGTGGTGGTTGAATTTAATTCACCGGCTGGGAAGATCAGGTTTCCCAAACGGGTAATTCACAAAATTGGTATTTTCCGGTTAGAGAGGAAAAAGCCCGTCGTATTCAAGGAGCGTGCGTCAAGTCAAATACATGAGTATGTGTCTGCTGGACTCTAATTAATAGCAGTTCGGAAGACCATATTGTGTGTCTGTGTGCAGGAGAGGACCACACTAAGACCTTTACAAACACTGTAAAGTATTTTAACCCATGAAGTGTAACTTGAAGGCAAAAGCTATCACAGCAAAAATGACATGACATGAGAAACGCCGAAAATATCTAGAACACTTAACCCACTGAAGAGCAAAACCGAATGTGGTTTTGAAACGTAAATGAGATTTTATTTTCATTGGCTGATGATTTTCAATCCCCAAATCTAGAACACCGCTGGACATTTAGCGTCACCAAGTTTCTATTTGGAGTGAAGTGAAAAAGCGTCGTAAAGCTAAAGTTACGGAGAGAGAACCACATACAACGTTTCGCTCACTCTGAAAATGGTCTGGACGTCACTTTTATGGTAAAGTAAGTTAATCGCCGACTAAATGATCTGGGGAGGTGGAGATGGTAGGACACTAACTGTTGCTACTGGGTCTGTACCTTCTAGTTAATAAAAGAGTATTCACTTGACTCAGTATTTTAATAAACAGAAATTCTGTGATTTGGGTGACATCACAAGTTTAGATAGTGTTCAGCCAGTGGTGATGATTTTCGGAAAGGGATATTCGGTAGCACTGTTTCACTCACTCTAGTGAAAGTTCGAATGTGTCCGTGTTTTATGGTAAAGAAATATGAGCTGGAATTAGTGCAACGACTAATTAGTGTGCGAGGATTTGTTCCTCCTTTGGATGCAGGATTAAGGCAAGTGATGTCTTTTAGGGTGAATGTCATTCCCCTGAGAACTCTATATGGGAAATATTATTAAGTATTTGATCAGGACGTTAGATCTTCAGAGAAATTCAGCAAGATTTTCGGGAACTTTCAAACTTCTTCCTGAAATTCCTCTTGTAAACCCTACTTTGGCTGTAGACACGCAGGCATTAGCTCTCACGGACAAGAGGGAGTCACACTCCTACCAGTTGAGACTCATTTGGATTTAGGTGTCAGAGTAAGTCACAATTTAAAAACTTGAGAACATTGTTGCGGGATGGGCGATTCGCAGAGCCTTTACTAGAATCCACAGAGAAATGTTTACCTTCTTATATACAACTCCAGTAAGGTCAATACTGGGTAACTGTATCCAGGCAGCTAGTCATTGTCTTAAAGGGGACTCACATATTCTAGAAGAGGTTCGAAGAAAGGCAATACGTGTGGTTCTCAGCATGAATAACCTATCACACGTGGAAGGACTAGATAGTTTAAATCTCTTCTACCCGTAACACCATAGGCAGAGAGTAGATTTAATCACAATGTTTAAAATTGTAAATAATGACTACGGACCTGACTTGTTCTCTCTTTTCCTCCCCACCAAGTCGGAATGCCTCATAGAACACGAGAGTTTAGGAGAATTCAAAAGCTGAGAAGAAATCTTACTGCTGTTTATAACTGGTTCTCAAGCCGAGTCATATACTCTTGGAACCAACTCTCAGAAGAAGTAGTGTCTGCAACCCCAACTGACTCATTCAGAAAGTGTTTGGACAAGCAAAGAAATTTAATAGGAAGTGATTAACATCGGCTTCAAGCCTTCTATCCCTTACCAATAAATGGCATCTAAATCTTGTTCATCATACTCAAAATGTTGACCTTGAGAGGAATTCCGCGCCTTTTGTTTCAGTCATATGAGAACGCGTGTGAGGGTATAGGCTATAACCAGGTTTGCAATAATTTTTGGGTATCGTTTCTGCGCTTAAATCTGTATAAGTCGATAATGGAGTTCGATTTATTTATTTTCTGTATTAAAACACGAATGTATAGATTCAGATTTTCAAGAGAATGCTCACAATTCAATCACTAATTGTCCCAATTGAAAACTCAATCCGATAGTAAAGGGGGAACACAGAGTCTAGAGAGGCGACAAAAATTGGCAGATCGGTGAACAAGAAATGAAAAATAGAGGGTGTTTTATCCAACATTTCTCCTTTCCAAGGTGTCGCTCGAAGCCTACAGTAATTCTAACCTATGGGTCGATAATGTCTTTTTATGGTAAATGAATATTTTTTCTGCCTAAAATGAACCCTCCGTATACTGAAATAACGCTGATCGTTATAAGAAACGACTAAGTATGCCTAATTAGTGCGATGAGACCTTAAAATAGGATTTGTGCCTGATATTATGTAATTAATGCCGATACAAAGCTGAAAAATGGCCCCTAGGCGCTGAATTAAGTCTTTTTTCCGAAGTAACGCTGGCCAGTGCCTAATCTGGGTTGGTTGGAAAACTTAATAGGTTTCAAGCTACTTCTAAAATTGGCTAAAGAAAGCATAGGCTGCTGGATTAGCGCCAGTCATGCTGAAAACCAACACTGAGTTCCAGTCTGTGTTCGTGACCAAACCATTTTGTAGCAGTTTCAGAATTTACTCATCATAGAATGTTTGAGTTATTTCAGAATTGGAGAGATATAATTTAACATTATAGTAAGCTTGGGGCATTATGTAACCTTTTTCACATTATTCCTATGCTTTTCGTGTGATTTATGTCCTTTTTTGTCTCTTTATTTTACCTTCTTCGACTATTAGGTTCCTCCTTCTTCGCCTTATTTTACCCTTATTGACTAATAAATTTCCAATGATCGCTCTTTTTCCCCTTAAGTAAGACTGTTGACCGCTGCTTTCTAACTAAGGCGCATGTAACCGTTAACATCAACGTGGTCGTTAGGAATAGAACCATCGCCATTAAAAGAACTGTCCGTAATGGAAAAGTTGTATATAAGTTATTTGATTTAAATTGATAAAAATTCAAAAACAGTTCTCCAAATTAATGGTTTAGGAGTATTTATCAGTTAGATTTACAAACTATACACAGTAGATTAGTTGTCTTGTGGATTTTGGATGAATTCCAAATTTCGCCTGACTGCCATCATCCAGTAGATCCACTGAAGTATCTTAATAATAAAAGAAACTCAATATTTATCAAGGCGGTAATCAACGATCACATTTATTCTAAAGCTTTATGGCTAATAATAATATAATAAAACCGTCACTTAAAGCGTTAAAGTTTGGTGAAATATTGAGTAAAATTCAGCTTAATGACATATAAAATATTGGTCTACTTTTTAAACGTAATTCCATATTCAACTCAATTAACATCCAAAATTACACTACACATTTAGTGATTATAAATAGAGTGTTCTCTATGTAACCAACTATCTACGTATACATGCAATTCATATAAATGTCAGCATTAGTAATCATTGCGTTTACAATAATAATAATATACATAATGAGACAGTTTTAAAAACTAATTAAGGTTATTTCGCCCAAAACATATGATGTCCTAGTGGCAACTGCATCATAGACTTTTACAGCACTCGTTTAATGAAATTATCACTTATAGCAGTGTTCATCCGGTCAGTGGTCTTGCTGTATCCATCAGCCTGTAAAAAGGAAATCAGAATTTGGCTGAGCGGTATACATTTAAACTGTTTTTGGTATATTAACTTAAATATTCCTAAAGATATATACTTACTCTTCTCCGGCTTTCGCTTTTGGCTACACGATCATGGACGTCGTAGAAGTAAGCCTTAGTGCTCGCCTTTTGCGTCTTCCTCAACCCTAATTCAGGAACTGTAGTAGAAACAGAATTGCTAATAATGAAGACTGAAAGACATTTAAATAAAGCAGGCTTATGCGTAACGACTTAATAGTAGCTGCTTTTTGCGAGAGCTAACTTAGTTGGTGTTCCGTATGCTGTGAAGCAACTTGAAAGCTTAAGCTCTGGAGTGTAATTCGAAATTTCTTTCAAAGAAGTTTGGATATTAAATGATTGCTGCCGGCCATTTCTGTCATCTAAACATCATCAATGGTCAGTTGAAAAATTACGAAGGAATCCCTGAATCCTTGGTTTTTCAGTGACGCCTCCAGTTGAATGTACTCTATTTCAGATGCCAAAGGAAATTGCATTTGACTACTATCAACGGATGACTTCCTGTTTCGCAAGGCGGAGAGGTTTTTCGCCTTAGTGAGTGAAAACAACTAGTATCATTGATATAAGAGTAAAACTTGTGTACTGTGTTAGAGTATACTTCCATCATGGGTAAAATTTATTTTGATAAGGTCTCACAGTGTTATAAAGTAATATTTACTGATGACGTTTCGAGCACAATTTATTACTCATAATCATATGAGAAATCATAATATGAGCATATGATAGGATTATGAGCAATAAATTGTGCTCGAAACGTCATCAGTAAATATTACCTTATAACACTGTGAGACCTTATCAAAATAAATTTTACCCATAATGAAACCAACTAGGTTACCAATTTAATAAAGGACTCCATAGTTCTGTCACTGCATAGTAACTAGGGATTAATAATAACACACATTGTCTGGAGACTTAGGTGTGTTTTTCGCCTGTTGAATTTCGTGTCAGAGTTTCCGTAGGAAACTACTTGCGTAAGAAAAACTCAATTGAATTAAGGAAAATAAAATTATGGGTAAAACATTATACTACTTACAGTTTATCAGTAACCTCCAACGGATGGGAAAACTTTTCGGTGTTTGCCCTTTTTGTCGCCAATATTCGATTTATTTCCGTCCTAGAAAACGGTTTCTCCCTTATTGTCCACATAAACTGTCTGGTTGGGAGCTCAATAGATTACCAATAGCAGCACTCCAAAAAATTCATCTAAAACTTAACCTTAACACTAATTTAAGCGAATTCACATGAGGAAACTTGTGTACGGCAACTTACACAACAAGATTATGCTAAACGTAGTATGGAGACACTTAAAAACAGTTTTATGTATTCTCTGAGGATTTTCGTACTTCTGTGATTTCAACACTCGACTTTATAGTATCAGGCTGATGATTCAGACTTTATTCTTGTCTTCTCTATTGACGGGTTATTATTACATGCCCTCGCATCATGTGAACCTGAATATCTGGTTTATAAGTCAAGTTCACAAACCCTCGTCTACAGATCACAAATGAATATGAATCCTTTGATAAAAATAATGTGTATGAGATGTTCTTTTCTACCTATCACAGAATAATATTTCCATGTTTTAAAAACTAGAACATTAACTAGGCAGACCGTCTGTATCCCTGATAACTGTTTGTCACTTATTATTTCTTGTTAAGTAATATTTTGGATTGATTATATGTCTTGGAAAGTGTCTTGGGTTTCTTAGTATATCATTCACACTCTAAATAATATGCAGCATCTCTTGAATTTTCTCTATTCATTATAGTATTTCGCACTATTTCACAGACAGTTCAGGCTACATGTTAATCCAATGAGTTATTGATTAGGCCAGTTGATTTATGACAAAGTAGAAGTGAACTAAGATTGGCTTTTTCGGCGTATTCCAGTTGAAGTGGTTTGTTTGATTGGAAATCTTACTTGGATTCTTCTTTACTGTTTGACTATATGATGAGTCGAATTAGCAACTGTGATTAGATTTCCCGCAACACTTGCGCCACAGAAAACGAATATGTGCCCATATTTCCCTTTTTAAAGGTTTAACATTGTGTGTTCTTGAGGACTGTGTCATATTTGAAATTCTTTATTCAATTTATTAACTTTTTTTAAACAAGTGACTTTATACTGAGATGGAGCTCGATTTGACATATTATTTTCAATCAGAAATAACTTCTTTTCACAAATTATGACCCACAAGATACATCTAGTGTGTGATTTCTTGGACTGGGTCATCTTTCGATAGGTTGTCATCTGTCTCCTCCGCTACATGTGAGTGTACGCTAAAGACTGACTATGATTGCATGAATGACTTAGGTAAAACTTACATCTATGCATTTGCTAAAGTTGCAATAATTTAAAACGCCGGAAAGAGGAATACAATGAATGATATTACAACACATAAACCCATTTGAGAAAGGGAGTAATTTTAGAAAGAGCAGTGAATATATTCGAAATTTCGAATCTAACAGAGATTGAACGCTACTGTGCGGTGGTAAATAATCTGTTATCCTTTATCGGAGTCACGACGAATCCAGCCTGGAACCTGAAGTCTCCATATCTGGCTCATATTAACAGTCTGAGATTTCGTAGGCTGGTGTTCCAGTTTCGGAAATGGAGTCACATATTACCTCAACTGATGTCGACTCCCGCATCTTGTCTCAGATATGCCAATCAACAAATTTTGTTATGTACAATGTCTTCCTGGTTTATCTTTGTCTTTTGAGGGTGAAAATGTAGTAATTCTCTCGCGGTAAGTTGGTGATAGGCTCTACAGTGATTATGCACAAGCTTTTATACATTCACTAGGTGTTCCTACCCGTCAATTCCTACCACTTAAAATAGAAAAAAATAGTGTACTAGTGCATGAGGCAGTTCCGTATTATTCCACATAGTGACGTTATCCCATATATGATAGGCAGCGCCAGATCAATAGAGTTGGAAAACTTCATGACTTATCATCTGGCTGCTAGTTTTCGTGAAATTTAGATATCCTCACAATAGTTGGATAGTTAGTATAGGTTGCGATCTTCCTGATAATAGAAGTATATTTCCTGAATAAAACCAAGGACGTTAGATATTAAGACTTTTGCTTTTAAAGTAACTTTATACACGTTTGCGGCTAGCGAAGTGTTTGGAGATGTTTTATTTTCGGTTGCCTTACAACGCTGAGGTACTTAATTAAGCTAGTAGGCTCAACACTAAAGCTGAAGCTCTTATTTTTATGGCTAGTTTTAACGATCCTTAAAGCATGCCGTACTGTTTTCCGGTTGACGTGTATTTGATAATTTTAGAGAAGTCAGAAAATAAGTTAGATCAACTGAGTTTTACTAAAAGCTTTCTAACTTCCTTGTAGGACACTGTGCGCAAAAGAATTATGCGACGCTTATTTTGGAGAAAAAAAAACTTGTTAATCCTTGGCATTGTGTGCTTCGGTCTACTGTTGATTTTATGGATAAGTACAGACAAGCCTGAGCATAATAAGGTTCATAAAGACCGTGCACATCTGCCTGTTGACAAAGCACCAGAGGAGGCGCTTAAACAAGGTGGTGACTCTCAAGGACTAGATGCAGCCTATAAGTACCACGCGGAAAATCCAATTCCAAGACCAGTGGCTAATGCTCCACAATTTCCAAATGTTCGCCTACATCCGCCTATCGATAAAGATCCGGGTAAGTTATCCATAAAGTATAATAGGAATAATGTTACTCCTTATTTTCTTCTATTAGCACGTTGTTGTGATGCATCTCTTTCGTTAGCCTTCTTTTTTCACTCTTCATTATTCTTGTGTCTGGATAATGATGATCAAATGTATAATATCCCCTGTGAACTTAACAAAATTAATTGTAGAGTTCTTATATTCTTATCGGACTGCTGTCTTTAGGTTTATTCTATAAACATTTACAGCAATAGGACTGCTCTCACTATTGTACAAATATTCTCATTAATATGAATTCGACTTCTCCTCGTTCTATCTTTTTGTCTGTCTTTATATGGCTGTATTTCCATTTCTCTTTTTCGGGGTCATTGGAAGATTTGAAGCGGTTTAATTCTGTTCAAAGTTTCCCAGTGACGTTTTGGTCTTTATGTTTATTATTCCGAGTATCTTAAAGGTCTTTGTTTGTCCGATTTTATTTATCTTAATATGTGGTCACTGGTAGCTTTCGTTTGAGTAATTTTTCAAGGTGCTTCAATTGGAACAGTTACAGCTTTGTATCATATTCCATTTGATTACGTTTGACTATTTTCCTACCTGTTCAAGAAGTTAATACTGGAATATTACTGTTAAATTTCATGGTTATATATGATGCACATCTATCCCATTGGAAATTGAATGCCTTGTCAGGATAGTATTCACCTGAAGAAGATATACCGTGTCACTGCTTTCCCTTTCTTATATAAACACTTGGTTTATGTGTCTGTGATACATCTTATACATGTCAGAAATTAATGATTGTAGCTTTAATATTTCACATAGAAAAGGTTTTTGCTGTGTTTCATATTTGATTGATCAGAAGTTGTGCATCTTCACCATACGTGGTATTCCACTTATTCATTTCAGTGAATACTGGAAATAAATAGTCGAGGTGGAAAAAAGAATAAAAACTTGGTTGCGTCTGTCTCTATCACATAATTCTTGTAGATCATGTAGCCTTTATTTGACAGTTTTACTTTCGTTTGTTTTCATGCCTGGCTACTTTCGATTTTTCACTCCCTCTGCTTATCATACCTACATTAGTTTGGTGATTTGAAGCATAACAAGATTTAATTTTGTCATATCCTAATCTGGGCTTTGATTATAATTATGGACTCATTTCATCTTTCCCTTTGTGTATCTTCTGTCAATCTTGACCTTGTTGTTTCGCATTCTTCTGTGTCAACTTGCTTGTCTCGTAGATGAATCGGCTCAACGTACAATGATTCGTGGGGAGCTATGAAGCTGTAGTTGACTGACTTGGACACTTGACTTTCATCTCAATGTCATTAACGAAGTCAAAACCATGTGCGTTTGATTGTTAGGTTGAAGAACCAGTATATGCTCGTTTGTCTATGAATAGCTGTTCTATCGGAAAGAGTATCCTACTATAAGGTTGGACAAAATCACAAATATTCAAATAAAAGGCATTCGGTAGTACGATATAGTGTACTGTTAATCGGCAAATATAAACAAGCCTATCAGAAGGGTTTCAAATAGTAGTTTGACGGATAAAGGAACAAGCATCTACGTTGGCGAAAAGTGGATGAGGCAGAAATGTTAATTATTTTTAAGGTCATAAAGAACGAATACATTGCACCATCTTTTAGGATTTTATGGTTTGTCACCGTCGGTGTTTAGCAATTCACTTTTAATTTTCTTGAGGTTTCCACCTAGACAGTCGGTATTTCCCCCATAAATTTGGGATCAAAAATCAGAGACACTACATGTACAAGTCATTTGGACTCGATCAATTTTTCCCTGTTGTTTAGTCAGCTGAATAATAATCACATAATTGTGTCAACTTTATTGTTTTTGCGGTTGTTATTATTATCGAAACACGAACATGACATTATTATGGAAACCAAGAGATACGCCACACAAAAAAATAGTAAAACAGCAATATCTAAGGAAAACAGAGAATAAATGACAGAGGCCATCCAGTAAGCAAGTGAACATATTAGTCCGCGTCATCCATCATTCGTTATTTCATGTTGGCTTCAGAAAGGAAGCAAGAAAGAAGGAAATTGCAGCATGTCCGCCATTAACTGCGATTCTCAACCATATCTGATAACGTTTCGATCCACTGATACGAATTCAGACTACCAACTATAACTACTCAAATCGGTCAGATGGACGAAGATTTCAAAAAAGAATGAGAGGCTTGAGAAAGGGAAAACATTAGGAATAGTAAAGTTGACATAAACAAAGTTGAAAAGGATCACACTGCTAGAAATATGATCGGAGATATAGTCTGTAACAGTGAGTGCATGATTACAGTCTCTCATGAAATCGTTGTCTGATAATTTACGCCAAATAAACATCGCTTTTTAACTTTTGTCCTTATAGTTCCTGGAGAAGTACAACTAGACCTTGCCAATGAAATGATAATGATGATGAACTTCATTTTCGTGATATAATACCTCCTGTTGATGAACTGGAAGAAAATAATGCAGTTATTCAACCTATGGATTCTGACAATAAAGTGGACCTAAAACATGCCCAGCATGCTGAGTATAGTAACTCAAACGGGTTATCAGCCATTGCGAAATTGGGTTTATTTCCGAGTTCTCCACCTCCAAAAAGTGACGAACATTCAACCGGTCCTGGTATGTATAACTTTCAGCTGTTATATGTATATGTCTATATAGTTACACATCATAGAATTACCGCTTCTTATCTAATCTTTTTTAGTTTATGCCGATAGTTCACGCTTGGTAGATTTCAACAATCCAGAGAGGATATTTGTGTGTGTGTGTGTGTCAGATACGCTTTATAAAATACTGGTGATACTAAATGGGAGTCTCACTGTCGATAAAGATACAAATATCAGTGAGTATGATTCATTAGGATCTTGAAGTTAACATCTTTAGAGGTGTTTCAGTTTATGAGGTGATGAGCGTTCTGTCATTATTGTTATTATTATTGTTATTTATCTTCTTTAAAACACTAACTTGATACAATTTGCCATCATAATATGCACAGCACAAATTGATAAAATAAGAATATAGGAAGGAGAGACGCAAAAAGAATCAAGAACAACAGAAGAGAAAATAATGAGCATGGTTGTGATGAACATGTATAGAAGTGCGTTCATTGTTTCAAATAAACTTCAGAAATAGAGGAAAGGAGAGGAAGTTGTAGGATGCAGGGCATAGATTTCGATTCTCTATTTCGATTTTTCATTTAGTCTCGAATCAACACTTTGCATCATCTGTTGTAACCCGCTCCAGGAGTTGTGGTGTCATAACATATACTAATCCAATACAAATGTCATTCAAATGTCGCACGGTGTTGCATTGTGGACTGACCACCTTTCCACTTTTCCACTTAGTTCCAGGGTTAGCCAAGAGTGGACAGTTTGGTAGACACTGGAATGTCATTCTTTGTGCACTTCTAGCCATAGAAGCCCGTGTCCCAAGGTGACATCAAGTACTATGTGATGGGGAAACATAAGCTATCAAAACTTAGAACAACTTACATGAGAAATTTTCCGGAAGGAAGCAATTCTGCAGGTCAGTTATGATCAGACACACAGTCGCCACGCATCCTTAGCACAAAGACACAAGTTCACAGTCTGTACCTTCTAAGAAATTGTGAAACCGGTATTTTACGGTAAGAATAACATCCTGTGGCGATAGGGGTAGCCGATGTTGATGTACTCTCGCCCAGATTTCACTACACAGATAGAAATTACACCGGTCACACAGTCAATAATCACATAACTACCTTAATACGTGAAATCTACAACTCCTTCTAATGGTTCGCTGTAAGAGAGAGGGAGAGTTCAGACACAGGTTTCTGCCAATCCTACAATATGACTAATAGTTCCCCAAGGTGTATGTGAAAAGTCGTAAAACTGTATGAACAAAGGCATCTTTGGACAGTTACAGGTACAGGTAGACCAAGAGATTGCTTTACAATGGACTGTCAATTTCCACTTTTCCATGGAACTCATCCAAGCAGATGTAGGATCGTTGTAGACCGAAATGTCTGAAAATACAAGCCTAAGTAAGCAGTTACGAGTCCAAGTAACGTTACTGACTAATAATCTGACATCAAAGAAAGTAAAATTATCCTAGACCGCCTTATAGATATCCTTGTTTTAGTCAGCAATTACACACACACATTTCTTCTTACTAAGGAGTAATTTATCGTTCATAGTTCTGTAATTAGTTGTAGGAAAGTGAGACACTAATAATGACTATCTACAGCATATGAATCAATAAAATCACATCCATTTTCCGAAATTTGTTTATGTTCTTTTTGGGTACAGGAAAATGTCTTTCATGTAGCCTTCCTAATGTGTATGTAGTTTTGTTAGCCTCTGTTATCGTATTGTTCATTTTTATGTTTCATCGGTGCTAATGCTTTCGTTATTATTGCTATTATTATGTTCATTTGTTGCAAGCATACCATCTGGTGGTAGGTATTCCTGTCTCAATTTAAGATATTATCACTAATAATCATTCGTTTGATGATAAAAACGAAATACTGCATACGCATTAAACGGCTTTTTCTCTTGATAAATCATGTTTAATCCACTCATATGAATAATCGCCATCGTCATCAAAGGAGTCTAAAGTAGAAAGATCTCTTCGATCGTTAGTTTTGTCTGGCGAACGTGTTTCTCACAGTGACTTTTTCGTTATATCATGGTATTCTAGTAGTCATTCAACTTCCTTACTCGATTTTTGTATTCGGTGATCATATTACCCCCAACTAGTTTTACCTTGTGACATATGCAGTTTCTTTTTCATTTTGGACAAGGCGAAGGTGGTCAAGCGTACAAAGTGGAACGTGAAGAGCTTCCACCAGGTGAACGTGAAAAATTCGATCAAGGATGGAAGGTTAATGCTTTCAATCAATATGCTAGTGATCGTATCAGTGTTAGACGATATTTACCAGACTATCGAGAGGGAAAGTAAGTTAACTTCGATGCTTTGAAATGATTTGGTTAGATATTTTAACGTCGAAAGTATACTATTTTGTATTTAGTTTTTTTTATACAGAATGTAGGTTGTTGGTGAATCAGTTTGTCGTTTGACTGGAAACAGGTAGAAACGTTTAGTAATTATTCTTTCTAGGATCTGTGTGTTGTGTATTCTTTTGATATCTTGTAGTTGTGGTTGATTCGTTCATGAGTTGTACTACTAGATAGCAGGTTTTGCGTTGAGAAAACTCTTATTGATCTGATAAAGTATTTGGCGACAAAGTAGTATCACTATTATCTCACAGTGTAGTGTATGAATTTTTGGAGTCTCCTCCCTAGAAATTTTATAGTAGTGGTTGGTTTCTAAGGGTGTTTTCAGGTTAATATTTCAGGGGAGGGGTATTGTTTAGATGGCATTCACCAGACTCATTTCAACTCTGGACTCAGCCAAAGCGTATCAATGTAAGTGATAGTCATGGGGGTTCAGTAAAAGACTTGCATTCAATCTAAATCACGTTCTTGGATAGTTATGACTTGTTAATCTGTAAAGTCGTATGTCTACGCTGTAATGAATACTGGGAGAGAAATAGAAAATCTCTGTGAGTCCTGTTTGTTGGTGAGAATACTAAGACTGTGTGATTGCTGGAGAATGGCAGTGTTACTTCTCATGGAGAAGTCTGGTACCATTTCTACTCTGTTATAAATCATTGTGGGTTATTGTTTATTGCTATTTGGAGGGCCAGTTACAAAGTGTGTATGAATTCTATGAGGGAATTTGCTTAGAAAGATCTTTGGTTTTCCCCTTGTTACGTAAAACTTTTGATAAATTTGCTTATAATCCTGATACATGGAGGTAATGGGTTTTCTGAGCACTTTTATTCGTAAAATGGAAAACTTCTATTACAAATCTTTTACTCCTTATTTGTAAATTGTTATTTCAAGATAAGTATGTTCGGATATTGAACGTGACCGTGAGCAGTGAAGTGGTTACATGCCTCAAGCATTGTAGTTATTAGGTATTTTGATCAACTGCAATGGACTAGTAATCAATGAAATTTCAATACGGTCACACAACATTCATCATTTGTTTTTTATCATACTTGACCGAAAAGCTTCATCTATTAAGTAAACGTTACATGTACTGGGAATCAGTTCCCTATTTCCTGACGTGTGGATGGAAAACACGGTTGTTTAAAACAAATCTGTGAAGGCTGTAAATATCTGTTCTCTGACAGTTGTGTTTGTAGAGTCGATAAATGAGCAGAGTGAAAGTTAGTTGTATAAATCTGGGTAATATGAGTAATTCAGATGAGGAAGGTGCGAATTTCTATAGTTCAAATATTTTGGAGGTATATTTGACACGTGGAAAGTTGCTGTCCACTCCCAAAATAAAAGTAGAATGACATTTGAAGGAATATCTGAATGGAAAGATGAAGAAAAGACCCCAATCCACTAAATCACCATCAGTCTCATCGTGTGAGGAAATCTAGATTGTCTGATATGGGTTTACGTGGATGTCATAGAATATTTTTAGAGAATTCAGGCTATATGATTCACAATCAATTATCATGATACAAATCCCCTCATGTCTTCATTTGAGTTGTGGAGGTGTAGCTGATTGACCTTAACAGTCAGCCTTAATTAATGTTTGAACATGGAGCGTGACAGTTCGAAGTGTAGTGTAGTGTAGTGTAGCACTGCTAGGTCTTGTGTTGATAACATCATTTGGTCAGCTGTCTATCTTCACAGCACAATGCTACCGAGGTTATTTAGATAGCGTTATCTGGTAATTTGTACAAATATTTAAGTGGAAATATTCTAGTCATCACAGTGACTAGTCTTAATATGAATGTGGGATTCAAGTAATGGTTAGTTGTTTTCATTAAGGCAGTGTGCCTTAATAATTGTATTTGTTAGAGAACTATTCAAGACTACAATGCACTAGACGTCTGTCTCGTTCTTGTTGTGGTCTCCTCAGAAATGCCTGTTCGTTACTATCCAAGGGACTACACTGAAGGTAGTTAAATTTTGAGTCAAGAACAAGACCACTTAACCACTCAGCAGAAATCCTTATGTTAGTGAATTTCAGCCTTCCCAGATATAGAAACACCAAAGTCGTCGTTGGGTGAGGGAGGAAATCTTGTTTACCCCCTTCAGTCACGAATTATTATCATTATAAAAGTTTCTCGAAGCTATTTGTTAATTAATGCTGACATGGACTTGACGAGTATCAAGTAAGTTAGTTCGTTATTTGAAAACGATTGGTGCCGAAACGATCTTCAAATTCGCTTTCAATTTACAACTTTCTTTAAACAATTTTCCATTCTGAAATCAGCTCATTTATTATTAACGTGTTCATCGATGTACAATAAATAAATAAATAAACAGAGGAAAGTGAATGGTATTAATAATAATAGTGATAAAGGAGCATAGCAATTTGTTATTGTCATATAGACATTTAGTGAATCATCATTAGTTTGTCCACCA